AAAAAAAAAAAAGACCGTACCCTTTTATGTAATGATGTTTACTTTGAATTTATATTAGTTCACACAAACACTCCATCCATGCTTTTGTTCCGGTCCTCCGGTCCAGTTTAAGAACCCATTGTGGCCCTCGAGTCAAAAAGTTTGCCCACCCCTGCCTTAACCGGAATCGAACCTGGGACCCTTGAGTCCGCAGGCTGATGCTCTATCCACTGAGCAACACCAGTTAGGGCAGAAGAGGAGATTCTGATTTCATACCCTCCCTCCTTTCATGGAAAATTCCCTCAGGTCCAGTTGGAGCGGAGGCTGCATCAGAACCTCAGAACCCGGGGATTTCCCAGTTCCTGCCAGACCTCCTAGTACACACTCTTCAGCCAGCAACAGAGGTGTCATCACAGGGTGGGTGTCTGATTGGCCAGAACCTGAACTGCAGAGTTTGGTTTGGGTGTTTTTAGATTTCTTTCTCAGCTTGGTCCTCCCATTGCTCTACAACTCAGAGAAGCAACTGCTGAGACCAACTTGAGAAGAGGATGACCCTAAACAGAGCCCTGATTTGGGGGGCCCTCGCCCTGACCACCGTGCTGAGTCGCTGTGGAGGTGAAGACATTGTGGGTGAGTGCTCTGCTGAGCCACGTGGGGACTGGACTGGGAAACAGAATTGGAGGGTAAAAAAGATAGAGATTTGCATAGAAATAGTAGCGATTCCTCAAAGGCATCCTCAATATTAACCACATCCAAAAATTATGATCCTTCCTTTTTTGGAAAACCAGAGTCCCAATCCAGTCTCTGCTACCTGAGCTTTGCACACTGCACCAAGGCCATCATCCTGTTTCTAACATTGGATCCGTGAATATAGCCTGGGGTGTCTACAGCATTCATGGGTGATTGCCTCAAAGATTAGGGATGTTTTCATACGTGGATGTTCTGTTACTAAAATTTATGAACTATTGTTCCCAAATTTTTCTGAACAATTTTTGGAGCTTTTTATATATTTTAATTGTAGTTTACTTTGGGATAAAGAGTTTCATGAATTATGTGTTCTATGTAGATATAAAGAAGGGTTCTTTGCTTTGTCTCAGATTCACATACATTTCCATGCTGAGAACTGGCACGGGTGGGGAATTGGAAAACAGCTCAGTGAAGGCCTTCAGACAAGTCATTTTATCACGTGGTTTTCACTTGATCTGTTACCTCTTATGCGTCACCTTACAAAAAATCAAGTAAAATAGGTATAGGTGTGCTTCCCAAGTAAGGAAGACCAATAATGTCAATATTTAAAATTGCTACTATTACAGGTATAGCTTTATAATTTTTCATTAACAAAGTAGGGAATATCTTTACTTTTATTTTAAAATTGAGAACTTTATGATGAAAACTTGGTGAATTAAATTATATCAGTCTCACATTGTTAGCCTAAAAGGCCTGTCCTTCACCACATCTAAGGAAGCTCTCTAAGAGGAAGATTGGGCATCCAATCATGGTTTGGTCCCCTGGGCCCCACCACCTCTGTCGCTCACCTTTCCACTCTTTCTTCTTCATTCCTTTACCCTCCTTTCTTTCCAGGGTCCATCGCTGGCTCTTTTCTTGTTGTTTTATTGGCATGAAGAGTGGGTTTGTAAAAGCAAAGTAGAAAAACCAAGCACCGTAGCTCAAAGGGGAAGTGAACTGGAGGTTACCCTGATCTTCAGCGATGTTATTAACCATGGCTGCCCCCAGGCTTCTTGGTTTGGTAGGAAAGTTTTGCCTGTTTCTCCAGAGCACGTCCAACTTCCCTTTTCTCAGTGTCACTGCAGAGTGCCCTGGTCCGGCTCCACGTACCCCCCACAGTGGGCACCGGGCTGAGGGCCTGCACTGCCTGTAGGGCCCCATGAAAATGTTTTTCTTTCTTTTAAAATTAGAACAAAAAATGAACTTTTAGGGTAGAAGAAACTAGTTTAATTTAGCCTGGATTATATTTGCCTTTATACCAATATGGTCATAAAATATGATTTTTTAATATTTTTATGGAAAAATAAAGGCCCACCTAACAACAGTGCTTAGGGCTCAGGAGTCATAATGCAGCCATCACCACTGAGTCTAACTTTCACAGGATGCTGCTACCTGCATGTCTGTCAGTCTTCCCCAAATCTCTGTTGTCCTGGAGAATAGCGCTGACATTTGCTACACAGTTTGAGCACCAGGAGCTCAGTGCTGGGGACTCAGATGAAGAGACGTGCTGTCTTCCCCTGGTGGGAGCTCAGATTAGTGATAGGACAGCATGGTGCCCAGAGCATGGCCACTGCTGGGCAGGAGAGTGGGCCCAGCAAGGCTGAAACTGAGAGTGAGTAGTTCCAGCGGGCACAGTGAGGTCCCTCCGCAGCAGCGTGCAGCCAGGACCCGTGCAGATGAAAAGGACAATCACATATATTCATGTTTGTAATGGAGTCAAACGGATTCATTACAAGGACAAGGAGCTTTGATGGAGGGCCTTTTAAGTGGCCAGCCAAAGGGGTCATGCTGGGTGGGGATGAGGACTAGATAAACTTGCAAAGAGGACATTTGCATGGAGGGGCTGGAGATCATAATGTGGTCAAAACTATGCTTAAGACTTAGCCAAAGTTGGTAACTAAGCAGACATTCCAAGAATGAACTGGAGGTGTCCAGAAAATCCTGGAAGATAATTTGAGGGAGGAAAACAGACCCTTGTAAAGACCAGGGAGCATGAAAGGGTGACGTCTGGTTTGATGGGCAGGTGAGGTATTTGTGGAGGACTCAGCACAGTACACCTATTGGCTCCTTACTCACCAGACTCCCCTATTCATTAAGCTCCTCACTGGCAGAGACCATGCATGGTCCATGTGTTACTCCTCGCTCCTGGCAATGTCTGAAACCTTGCTGAAACTCAGGAAATAGGAAGGGAGGGAAGAGGAAACGGTAAAAGGCTCAGACAAGTTGTCCAGTCAGGCTCCCCTGGGCAGAGTCAGCTGCGCTGGCTGCCTTCTGCTTTGGCATCACAGACAAGTACACTGTCCATTCCAGGGAAGGGCCAGAATTTTCCTTGAGTCCTCCACAAGGTAAGTGTTGAGTCAGAAAAAGGAATATTTAGTAACATCCTTCAAAAAAAAAGAAGAGGGTGGGAAATGAAAGAAATTCAAATCTAATAAAGTTTCCAGTTTCATCTCAGAGAAACCAGGTGGTCTCCGCTAAGGACCACCTTGTTACAGAAGCAGAGACCTTAGCCCTGGTTGGTGGGCTCAGTGATTAGAGCATCAGCCTGTACATGGAAAGGTCATGGGTTTGATTCCAGGTCAAGGGCAGGTACCTAGGTTGCAGGTTCAATCCCTAGAGTCACCTTCGAGAGGCAACCAATTGATCTGAGAGGTTTCTCTCTCTCTCTTTCTCCCCCCTCCCTTCCTCCCTCCCACTCTCTCTAAAAGAAAAAAAAATCAATGGAAAAAATATCCTCAGGTGAACATTAACAAAACAAAACAAAACAAAAAACACCAAACAGAGACCTTAAAAGCATTGTTTACTTTTTATGTGTTTTGTGATATTTTCACTGCCCTTATCTTGCTCTTTCTTATTCATTAAAATAGAGACAATTCTTTAAAAATGATATTGGGTGTGCTTGTGTTGGTTAAAAAAATAAAAGGAGGAAGGAATCCTTGTATAGAACATGTTCTGTTCAGAGCCAGTCCTGAGGGGAGAGGACCCACAATGAATGTGTTATTAACCGATGAAGAAATCGAGAGAGAAAACTTATGAAGCAGAGGGAGGTAAACCCAATCTCTGGAAAGAAAGCTAAGGCCATGGTCGTTCATTCATTCCTTGTTCCGCCCATTTCAGTATTTATCTTAAGCCCATAAGGTGCCGGGGGCTGAGCTAGGTGGGCAGAGAACAGCAGTAAACAGGCCTGTGGAATTCTGTTCCTGTGACAGGAGCAACCATCAGAGTGGAGAGGCAACTGGATTCTAACAGGACAGCCAGGGGAGGGAGCAGGCGCTGGGGACTGTCTGCAGGCTGTGCCGAAGGTGCAGCACACAATGTTTGCACATCTGTTTCTTGTCACTTGTTTAACGAGATCCTTTCTCTCCTGTTTTACACCTCCCTGCTCCCACCTCACTCATCAGCTGACCACGTTGGGGCCTATGGCGGAAGCTTCTCCCAGTCTTACGGTCCCTCAGGCCAGTACACTTTTGAATTTGATGGAAATGAGATATTCCACGTGGACCTGAAGAAGGAGGAGACTGTCTGGCGGCTGCCTGGGTTAAGTGAATTTGGAAGTTATGACCCACAGGGTGGACTAAGAAACATGGCTGTTGCAAACCAGAACCTGGACTTCCTGATTAAACTCTCCAACTCTACCGCTGCTATCAATGGTGTGTGTCCACCATCCTGTCTCTTTACTGAATCTACCCTTCATAACAGGCCTCACTCTCTTCTTGCCTCAAATAGATTCCCTTCACTCTATAAAATGCGCTCCTTTCCAAGGAGTCCCAGATCTTCTCATGGAATTTGCTGATTGGAATCTCATGTCTCCCTTTTTACAAATCACATATTTCCATGAAATACAGATCCTTGCTCCCCTATGCAATCCTTGACTCCTATAAGGACAGGTCCCGTAGATGTCCACCCTAACAAGGGGCCCACAGAGAGAAGGGCGTGGGGATGACGGGCGGGCAGTGTACAGCGGCTCACAAGCAGAGGGAACAAGAGCATCTCTGCTCTCCGATGGGGAAACGTTGGTGGGAGGCCCTTCCAGGAAGCAGGGACCCTCAGGGCAGAGCTGCCCAGGATTCTAAACCCAGTGCTGTTTCCTCACCGCAGAGGTTCCTGAGGTGACTGTGTTTCCCAAGGCTCCCGTGGAGCTGAGCCAGCCCAACACCCTCATCTGTGCTGTGGACAACATCTTCCCTCCTGTGATCAACATCTCGTGGCTGAGCAACGGGCACTCAGTCACACAGGGTGTTTCTGAAACCAGCTTCCTGTCCAAGAGGGATCATTCCTTCCTCAAGATCAGTTACCTCACCTTCCTCCCTTCTGTTGACGACGTCTATGACTGCAAGGTGGAGCACTGGGGGCTGGACCAACCACTCCTCAAGCACTGGGGTGGGTATGAGCCCCACACCTTTTGGTGCCTTCTTTTCTCTGTCATGTCAGACACTCTGCCTTTTAGCTCCTAAATCTCATGGCCCAAAGCCTCTTTTCTACACTTCAAGGATTTCTAATGATAAACTTTATTATTCTCCCTCAACCTGGAGCCAAGTCTTTGTAGAACCAACACCACCCCTCCCACCCCATATTGCACACATGCTGTGAGCCAACCTTCCACATTCTGACCTCCATCACCTCACTCCCACAGAGCCCGAGATTCCAGCCCCCATGTCAGAGCTGACGGAGACAGTGGTCTGCGCCCTGGGGCTGGCCGTGGGCCTTGTGGGCATCGTCACGGGCACCGTCTTCATTATCCAGGGCCTGCGACCAGGTGGTGCCTCCAGAAACCAAGGGCCCTTGTGAGCCACACGCCAGAAGGAAAGGTAAGGATTCCCATGTGTTAGAGCTGGGACCTGGAGACACAGTACAGGAGGGAGGAGAGTATGAAGAGATTGTGGACACAACTGTTCTTGAAAAGTGCTAGTAGAATTGGGAAACAGCATGAAGATAGCACGGAGCCCCCTGAGACCTATGAATCTCGTGTCTCTCCTGTTACTGCAGGTGTGTTGCCAATCTTGAGAGCAGAAGAGTGGACATGCTGGTGACCAGCACTATTTGCTGGCCAAGGCCATCATATTCCTTCTCTCCTCCAATGCCTCTCCTGTCATCTCTTCTCTGGGACTTTAGGTGCTGTGTCCTCTCAGACTTCACAAACCCTTGGAATTCTCCCTCTCACTCCTGACATTTTTTTCTTTTCTCAGCCGTTACCTACTATGGAGATCCCTGAGATAGGCCTCATTCCTTGTGGCCCTGATCTGATATCTCCATGGAAGCAATAAATACCCTTTATGAGATCTTTTATTGAATTTTTTCCTCTCTTTCATCTCAGGGCTGAGTAGGACCATAGCTAAGAATGGCAAACCCTCATGTTTCTGGCCCCTTTCATTTTATTTTACAGTTCATATTTCATGTCCAGTAACAAAAGAGCAACCAAAGATAGCCTGGTAATATTTTGATATATTAGATGAAATTAATATTTCTCTCTTCATTTGGTTCCCTCCTTTGGCCACTGTCTTTCCCCCACCCCCAATTCAGGCATCAGTGAGGATCATATATACCCTCTGCCTTTGGTGCAGTTTCGTTTGGCAGGAATACAAAACCAAGAAGGAAGTCCATAATTACTATAGTATAGCTTTCAAAAGTTATGACAGGAAAGTTAGGGGGAAAGAAATTTGAATTGCAAAAGTACCAAAAAGTCAAAAAAAATTTTCTCAAAACTTTAAATTTGTAAAGTTAATGATGATGATATTAGAAACTTTCTCTCTTCTCTTTACCTTTGAGGAGATAAGAATGCTCTAGGCAGGAGAAGAAATGGAAGTCAGTCAGGAGGGCATTAGAATGAGACCATAATGCTTTGTCCTTACTTATGGTTAGTAACCAGTGGGGAAGGGGTGGGAGTGTAGCTCTCCTCGCCTCCTGGATGAGTCCTGCTGGCTAACCTGTGGATTTTCCTGTGCCACCCTGGCATACGAGGGACACGGGGTGAATGTGGCTGCAGGGTGTGTCCAGGCAGGTAAGCCCAATCAGGATCACAGAATCCCAGAGTCCCTGTGTACCTGGGAGCAGCAGAACAGCCCGCTACCCCAGCCCCGCCCTCCGCTCCTGGCTAAGGAGCGGGAGCCTGTGAGGGAGAAAGTGCCCGGGTCCACAGGGATGAGATCATGCAGCACCGTGGGTGCTGGCCTGATCTGGATTCACTGTCTCCCAGTGGAAACCCCGGCAGGGAGATGCACCCACAGAGGGACACTCTGGCTCTCTGAGTGCATCCAACATTTCACTCCTGAGCATGTGTGTGACCCAATGTGGAGCCATCCCGACCTTTGCAATTGTGTTCCCCGTGTTGCCTCAGTCTTTCTGCCCCGCATGACCGCTCCACACAGTGCACCTTGGATGGCACGATGGAACAGCCCCAGAGTGTATGAGGCTGTCCCTGTCCATGTCATCTGGCTCTGGGAACTTAACATGTAACTGGGAGAGACAGATACTAACAGATTAATTGATGCAGCAAAGTTTGGTACTGAAAGGGCCGGCGGGGCACGTGGCCCCGCAGGCGTCCGGCAGGGAGGACGACTGGCCGAAGGTCCCCCTCTCCGGCCCGTGAGATGCCCTGGCGCTGGGGGCCGCATCGCTGCGCCTCCCAGCGCGAAGGGCGCCCTGGAGCCATGGGTCACTGCGGAGACCACACGCAGGACCTCGTGGAAGACCCGCCATCTTGGCTCTGGCCCTTCCTACCTCCACATCCTCCTGGGCCGAAGCCCATTCTTACCTTGCAGAGAACGGAAAAGGAGGAGAAAAAGAAGAATCTCACCCAGCCTTCGCCCCCCCCACCCTGTCCTGCAGGGGGGGACTGAAGAACTAATCTTTCCTCCCCCATATAGCCCACGGTGGGGCGATCCTTCCACGCCAGGAGTGGCTGGGGGCGGAGTTCTGGGAGTGGCTGGGGGGGGGGGTCTGGGGGGGGCTGGGGTTCCGGGGGGGGGGCCC